CATATATTTATTTCAAACACAATTTGTAAATATATATAAATAAATCATATACATGCTTTTCATACATACTTTATACATATACTTTACATACATATTTAAACTTATACATATTTAAGTATGTATAATTGAGTGGTAGTCACTTAATCCTGGTAACATAATGAAGAATATGTTGTAGACTCAACATGATTTGCTTTGGAGATATAACGTAGAATCATAATTTAATAGAAGATTATTATGTAGTAAAAACATAGGGATACATTTTGTAGGCCTATATGAATATATATAACTAATAGTAATAACAATCTGAGAAAGGAGACAATGAGAACTTTTGTATGATAACTTTTGCATAAGTGCTTTATTACTTCCTTTTTTTTTGTCATTTAGTTTAAAACAAAAAGGATAATAAATATTCCACTGAAAATAAAATTAAGAATGTTTTATTCTTCGAAATATTAAAGCTTTAGATGGAATAAAAATATTCAAACGTTTGCATAATTATAAACTTTCTTCTCTCTTGGCAAAAGAGGAAAATGTAAATTAAGCACAATTTTTCATTGGCAAAGCAGGAAATGCGACTACAACGTAAAGTGCTTGGAATTAAATGGTATTAGGGCTATGTTAAGAAAAGAGTGCTGTAGCTCTACAAAATAAAAATAGTCCGTGCTTTTCTATTATTATTATTTAAAAATAGGCTATTTGTGCACCCCGACCTAAAAGATCTATTGTGCGCCTATAGGCCCAACTAGGACAATTTTAGACTATTTATAAATCTTATAATTGCAGTGGGCTTAATTTTACCTATTTGATTTGGGACCAGGATCCCGCTACCAAGGTAATCGAGTCTACGTCTTGCCACCGCTGGGCAGTTGCATAGAACATGTTCCGATGTTTCCTTCTCCTCATGACAGAGTCGACAGGAATCACTTTCTACCGCACCTATAATCTTCATGTGGTAATTAAGTCTACAGTGCCCTGTAAGAAGTTCAGTGTAGATTTTGATATCATTTCTGCTAAGGTTGATGATAGCATCAACTTTGATGTGTTCAGGATCAATGAATCTTTTTGACTGTCGCATGCCTTTTTGAGCTCTCCAGTGTTCAAGTAGATGCTGTTTCTCCCGTTCACATAATAAGTTGTTCGTGAAGCTATTTGTTACCCCGCAGAAGGGCTCTGGCCCAATGAAAGGAGTACATGCACCCTTCTTTGCTAATATGTCTGCTATTTCATTGCCCTCATGCCCCTCGTGTCCCGGTACCCACATAAGAGTAACATAGTTCCTCGATGCTAGGGTGTTGAGAAGTTGAAAGCATTCCCAAACCAGCTTTGATTGGAATAAGGATTTTGCTAAAGATTTTAGAGCTGCTTGGCTGTCTGATAGAATGCATATGTTGGTACCTCGGGTGCCCCTACGTATGCATTCTCTTACACAAAGCTCTAAGGCATGGACCTCTGCCTGAAAAATGGAAGCAGTTTTTCCCATTGCGATTGCTTTACGGAAGTTTGGTCCCATAACTCCTGCTCCTGCACTGCCATTATCCATTTTGGACCCATCAGTATACCATAATTGAGAGCCCTGCTTTAAGTTTATTTTATTATTTCTCCAAGTTGATCGGTCACTAATGACCACTTCGAATTCCCTGGAGAAAGCTAATTTTCTATTCATCTTGTCGAAGACCTTAAGGCACGGAGAATTCCAGATTTCATCTAGAATCTTTGCGTGTCCTGTCAAATTGCCCTCTTTAAGATTACCTAGATAAGGAAGCCTTAGTGCAGCGCTGGTCGCAGTCCTTTTAACTGTAATGTGTAATGGGGTGAGTCCAGTGAGCATTGCTAGGGCTTCTGTGGGGCACGTTCTCATTGCTCCCGTTACGCTTAGACAGGCTGTTCGATGAATCTTATTGAGAGTCATCTTAGCCTTCGTCTGATTTACCTTTGGCCACCATGCCAAAGAAGCATAGGTGATCATCGGTACTATTACGGTCTTGTACGACCAAGCCATCATTTTTGGTCGCAGACCCCATGTTTTACCATACAGTCTTTGGCACGCATAAGTTGCTCTTAGAGCTTTGCCAGTTATATATGATAAATGGTTTTTCCAAGTAAGAGTTTTATCTAGAATTACTCCTAGATATTTCATTTCCTCAGATAGTATTAAGCCAGTGTCCCCTAACTTTAAGGTCCCTAGACTCATCTTCCTTCTTCTGGTGAAGGGTACTACATTTGTTTTATTCGGATTAATCGAGAGTCCTTTCTCTTGACACCAATTTTGAGTGATATCAAGAGCTAGTTGCATACGATCGGATATGGTGGAGTCAAATTTGCCTCTAACCATGATGACTAGATCATCTGCAAAGCCCTGAACTTCATATCCGAGGTCACTAAGAGACTGTAGGAGTTCGTCAATGACCAATAGCCATAGGAGTGGCGAAAGAACGCCTCCTTGAGGACATCCTTTGGTTGACTTGACAGTTAATCTCTTCGTCCCCATTTCAAAGATTATCGTCCTATTTTTCAGCATATTGAGAATCCATGTTATGATCAGTCTGTGTATTCCTTTCCTGACCATTCCTGCCTCAATTGATCTGAATGTTGCATTATCAAAAGCTCCTGTAATGTCAACCGATGTGCAGAGAGCTATTTCTTTACCGTCTAAAGCCTTCTCGATTTTACTCGTCAGACTATGTATAGCGGTGTCGGTCGATTTGCCCGACTGATAAGCATACTGTTCAATATGTAGAGGTGAAGCTTTAATATAGACTTCCCTGATGTATTGATCTAGAATCTTCTCCATTGCTTTAAGCAGGAAAGAAGTAAGGCTAATGGGCCGAAAAGCTTTTGGCGTGTGGTCCGCCTTTTTGCCTGCTTTCGGTATGAAAGCTACCCTAGCCTTCGTCCAATGTTTAGGTATTACGCCTAATTCTAGACTTATCCTAAATAAGTTTGTTAATATCGGTGCTAATATATCAACGCCTTTCTGAAGAAGGCACGGTTGTATATTATCGATACCAGGTGATTTAAACGGGCTGAAAGTGGAAATGGCCCATTTAGTTTTATTGACTGTAAAGATTTTACGGGCCAGTGAAAGATCTCTTCGTGTAACCAATAAGAAACGAGTATCCTCGATGGTTTCCGTAGTCTCAGTATACATGGCGCAGCCTGGAAAATGAGTGTCCAGCAAAAGCTGTCCCGTTTCTTCCAGACTTACCGTAAAGCTTCCGTCAGCCTTCTTTAATGTAGAGAGGCTATTTGAGTGGTCTTTATTTAGAGATTTCTGGAGTCTCGCAGCCGCAGGAAGTGTTTCAATCTCCTCGCAGTGCCTCCTCCATGATTCCCTCTTTGATTTCCTCAATTCCTTATTGTAAGCCGTTAAGGCACACTTGTAAGATGCCCAGTCCCCATTGGACTTGGCTCTATTAAGGAGCTGGCGGGCTTTTTTGCGTAAAATATCTAGTTCCCTATTCCACCATGGGACGTTCCTAGAACGTTTCTTTTTGATAAGTTCGCAGCTATTTTCAAAAGCCCCTGTAATAGTATTTTCTAGTTTGTTAACCTCAAGATTTAGTTCCTGACAATTAGTAATCCTATTCCCAAGACAACTAATGTTTTGTTCTAAATAGAAGTTATATAGAGACCAATTGGTCTTCCTAACATTTCTTATTTCGAAAGTGTCTTCAACTTCCCCTTCCAAATCAAAGCGTATATATCTGTGATCTGATAAGGAGTTCTCCTCCAACACCCTCCAATTTGAAATGTTATTTGATATAAATGCGCTGGCTAAAGTGAGATCTATTACCTCTTCCCTTATCGCATTTACAAAAGTGGGTTCGTTACCTTTATTAACTACCATTAAATTGTTAGTTGTGATATAATCAAAAAGTGACTCACCTCGTGTATTGATGTCTGTGCTTCCCCATACTGTATGGTGTGCGTTGGCGTCGCAGCACATTACCCACTGTAGGTTTCGGATACGGCAGTATTCTGTAAGCTGCTGGAGCTCGAGAGACACCGCTTCCTCTGCGTCGCCAGGGAGGTACAGAGATGCAAAAACTATTATTCTCGTCCCCCTAGTACTAGGCACTTCTGCCTGTACCGCCACCAGATCACGCTGTATGAGCTCTGTAATTGGAAGAGATTTAATGGTTTTGTTAATCATTATCGCCATTCTAGGACGATCAACATTATTATCATAGATTAACTTACACGTTTTTGTCTGTAGAC